ACAGCATATAGATGTTTTAGTGTTAACAGCTGAAACTAAGGAAGATATGGAAGAAATATCCAGAAATTAGAAGTAAGCACTGGAGAAGAGAGGTGGAATAGTGAACGTATATTTAAAACCAAAAAGATAATAAAGGGTGATAGTGTAGTAGAAAATTTTCAGTCAGGAAGACCTGTGGAGTTGACAGTGGAGTGGAAGTCTATTCTATCCCATCCAATGTGTTTGACAGATGTCATCATAAGAGGTGCTCATGGTTAACCCCTTACTGATGAGGAGCTTGTACATACTTGCAATGGTATGACTGAACTACTGGGTGACATGAATCTGGTCTAAGTTGCAGGTGCTAAACAGCTGTTTTAACATTACTGCTGTGACTGAGGAACCATTTTTTTTAGCCTTGTTTGCTGGAAATTCATGTGCTACTGCTAGACTTTTAGGAGGTGGGGATATTGTTTCCTATGCTTCTAATTTTTCCCTTTAGTAACTGTCCTTTTGTTGTGGTCTGTGCATAGTCCAGTATGGCATGGGTTAAACTCTTCAGCACAGTGGTGTCAGTTAAACTCAGTCAATATCAGACTGATAAACACTGTGAAATAACAAAGTTCTGGGCATAAATAGGCCGGTTGCAGTAGAACCCCCCAGGTAAGGTCTTTGTGAGAATAGTAATGACTCGAAGTGCCAAGGATGTTCATGTCACTTTGGGTCACCAGTGTAGTAAAGAAAGCACAAGATGTATGGTCAAGTATCTCTTTAATTAGGAGACAAATGGTAGATGTATTTCAGTCAGTGTCAAGCTGATGAATGCTGGCAAAATTCTGACTTCAGCAGTAGGTCCCAGAAAGGATAGCAGTGGTTAAGGGTTGCCAGCAGCCAAACTGAGCAGATCTGGTAAAGGCCTACTTAAGGTCTTTGATCTGGAAATCTTGCAGAACCCTGACTCCAGCACACTTGACTGAGCAGCAGCAACTCAGGGCAGTCCTTTCCTTTTGTTTGGAGAGCTTCCATGCCTTCCCCTTGGAACTCCACTTCAGCTGCAGCACCCAGGCATCACAAGGGGCATTCACATCCTTCTAGAGGATGTGGCCTGAATGTAATATTATTGATAACATCCTGTGCAAAGTTGGTTTGCTTTGTACAATTTACACACACTATTAGGTCTGTTACAGTTTCTTTCATCCATGTTTTGTCATATTTGTGCCAAAGTGTTGCAATTGTTCATTTTTCTTTTCCATGAAACTTAAAATATGCAAAATTATGCCCAAATCTATAATGTTCTTCAATGATGTTTTTTTTTTCTTTTTTTTTAATAAAGTTTTCTCATTACTGTGATAAGCTAAAAGTAAAATGAGACACATGCAAAACAAGTGCAGAGAAAAGATGAGATTGATGCATTTGGCAAGGTGCTAAAGTTTAGATGACTTGGCTATTGCAGGTGTTGATGGATACTCTTGTTCATCAACTTAATAGTAGTAGTTAGAAGCTCTTTTTAAAAAAATGAACATTTGAAAAGGAAAAAAATGAGAGAACCTGACAATAAATATCTTTTTCTGATAGTATTTTGTGGCCATCCAACATAAGTATTTTTAGCTTGGACAAATAGTTCTTAGGTATTCCTCCTGTCTATTTTCTCATTCTTCTGTTTATTCCTGTTTTCCCATGTCTATGTTTGCTTCCTAATGGAAATATTGCTTTCTACTTTTATTTTTCCTTTAGTTCCCCCTCATAGATCATAATAACAATAAAAAAACAACCCCTGTACAACTGCTGTCAATAGCAATTATAATAAATGATGGTAATAATAATAATGATAACAACATTAGTTATCATGAGGATAATGAGGACAGTAATGATGATGATGATGATAATAATGATAATAATAATGATAATAGTAATAATAATAATAATTAATGATGATGATGATGATGATGATGACAGTGACAATGGTAATAATGATAATGATTATGGTTATGATTCTTACAATTACGATTACAAGTTGAAAGTTTAAAATAAGTAAATTGTAAAAAAATGCCTGTTATTGGTTGCTTTTTTTTTTAGGTTTATGAATATGTTATTCTATTTTCTTAGAATAAAATTATTGGGAGTACCTTTTCTCTTACAAATGTGTGTTAAGATCCTTATGATAACTGATGTAAACATAGGCTTTTGATATGTATAAAATCAGTCTGATGAAAAGAAAAACACAGAGAGAGAGAGAGAGAGAGAGAGAGAGAGAGAGAGAGAGAGAGAGAGAGAGAGAGAGAGAGAGAGAGAGAGAGAGAGAGAGAGAGAGAGAGAGAGGGGGGGGAGAGAAAACAAAACCAAATATTTCAATATGTGTCTCAACTGCCCAAATCCCTTGCTCGTTGTCGTCGAGGAAGGGCTTAGGAGACGGAGACTGAGGCCTAGTGTAGGAGGTTACCTCTACCTTAGACCCCAGCCTGCACCTCAACTAATTTGACTTGGTCTTTTCTTCTCTCCCCTTCCTTTCTTTCTCTTCATCATTCCCTTCTGTCCACTTCTTAAGGTGTGAGAGCTGTGCTGAAAGGATGAAAGGCTTTCTTTGTGTCAATTATGAACAGCCTCTGGGATCCATGGGCATGGTATTCCCTTGGTTAATTGTCTAGCCCTTACCTCTCATGGAGACCTGGGGGATAGACCGTTTCCTCTCCCCATTTATTTCAGGCTCACCATGGCCAGTAATGAAGATGTTTTACCCTTATTAGAGGCATTAACGCTTACCCCCTCAGCAACTAGCCTATCTAAATTTGATTTCATTGGTTTCCTGACCCCTGCCTCTCCTTTGACCACGCCTCAGACTGATACTAATACCCCCTCCTCGATGATTGTGATCAACTTTATCCATTCTAGGCCATTACTCGTCCTTCAGAATACACCTCTTCCTCTCTCCCAACATCCTCCACTCCATCTTCTACAGCACAGTTTTCTTCCTTGTCTACCCCAACCCCTCTTATTACTACTCTTCATCCTTACTGTCCTCCTCCCATCTACCTCTCTCCATACCTCCCCATCTTCCTCCTGCGCTCCTCCTTCTACTGCTTCCACCTTTGCCTTTATTCTCGTCATCTGACACCTCTAATACCTCACACAAATGAAATCTGATACTTCTTCATCTTCTTCCTCCTTCTTCTTCCTCCTCCTTCTTCTTCCTCCTCCTTCTTCTTCTTCTTCTTCTTCTTCTTGTTCCTCCTTCTTTTCTTCTTCCTCTTCTTCCTCCTCGTCCTCTTCCTCTTATTATTGTTATTGTTATTATATTAATAACCATAATAATAATATCAATAATAATATAATCATCATCCTCTTCATTATTATTATTATTAATTACTATTATTATCATACTATGATTACTATGAGCATCACTATTATCATCATTATTATTATTGAATATTGATTTTAATTTTAATCTTTAATTTTAATTCTTAAATTATTTTTAATTATTATTTATTATTATTAGTAGTAGCAGTATCATTAAGAGTAGTTGTAGTTGTAGTTGTAGTTGTAGTTGTAGTTGTAGTTGTAGTTGTAGTTGTAGTTGTAGTTGTAGTTGTAGTTGTAGTTGTAGTTGTAGTTGTAGTTGTAGTTGTAGTTGTAGTTGTAGTTGTAGTTGTAGTTGTAGTTGTAGTTGTAGTTGTAGTTGTAGTTGTAGTTGTATAGTACTCAAATGTTTTATTTTCGTGAAAAGGCAGAAAAGATGTATAAGCATAGATATAAATTGGTTGTTCCTACGAAGTCTTGATTTCTATTTTTAATTGACGTGTAGTTTCCATATACATTGGTGAGGGGATCCGTAGACATCAGTGAAAGAAACTGCATACCAAGCCCAAAACTAGAAACAGATCTGGCATTTATTGACTGTTTTTTTTTAACCCCCAGGCATTTACCAACTACTTTGGAGACCCCTAGACATGTCATTGCTCTTATGCCTTTTTAACATTTGTCATAATGAAATCTCTGTATATATCTGTCCTGGTTTCTCATTGTTTAGAACTCTTAAGGAATGATAATTTTTTTGCTTTTAGTATTCTTGTTATTCTGTTTTATTAGTTTTGTTAGTTTTGTGTCTTGTTTTGCTGATGTTTGGCCAAAGGCAATGGCCAAAGGCAATGCGAATAACTGGTACCATTGGCTGAAGTTACCATGTTTTCTGTAATAAGGAAATGTTCTTAAATTTATTATGATTTTTCTCTTTAACCCAATGCCAACGAGCATGATGTGAACGTATGTGCTATGCCCACTGTAAGTACTTGTTTGATTGTTTTTACACTTAGATGGCTACACTTGTACTCAGTCACCAATGAGCCAGATATGAGTACTGCCTGTCTCACCCATTTACCCTTTTCTTTGATTTAAGAAAATATTTTAGGTCATCTTATTTTGCTGTTACTAATGTTTACAACATTATAGTAATTATAATGTTTATAAAATAAATAACACCATTAATATTCATAGCCTTAGTAAAAGATACATTTTTCCCGCCAATTCAAATCAGGTAAAGTCACAAGGTCTACTAATTGACTCCTTTGTGGCTAAGCACAGTTTACAAAAAATATAGAAAATGAGCACAGCATTTCCCCCATTTTTTATTCATTTTACCCGTTGGCATTGGGTTAAGGAAACTAAATATTGATGGATGTCTTCTTTTGTCTTGCAGGTAATCCTAGGAAGTAGCATCATCATGGTGGAAGCGCTAGATTGAATATCGTCATCCATATTTATAAGGTTTATTTGATAACTTTAGTGCGCGAGAAGAACACTTGAGGATCACGTGTGTGTGTGAAGAGCAAGTGGAATTTTCTCTTGGTTGTTAAGTGTTCCTTTCATGATAAGAAAATTTACTAGTGAGATATAAAACACAGAAATATGTTAGGAAAAAAAAATAATAATAATAATGATAAACTATCATATTTTAAATGTGAATAATTTTACTTTCCAATTTTCTCCATAATTTCCATTGTGTATTAAGGATGAAGTAAAACATTACATTAAATATTGAGCATTTTTTGAGTATATGACAATACATGAGCACCAGTAATGGTTGTGAACCTACAACCATGTTGAGTAAAAAGCTTTGTACAAATAAGTTTCACAGGTTTTTCACTCCACATTGTATAATCTGTAGGCATAACTTTCTATTTTATTTACATAATATACACAGGTTCTTTATATTAATTAAAGTATTGCACAGACAAGGCACTGATTGCAAGATTTCTGGCACTTAATTTGTGAAATGAAAGATTTAGAAGATGAAAAATATTTAACAGGAGGGATGGCAGAAGCATTCAGGATTCTTTCTTTCTCTTAGAAAATAGTATGTACAAATTGGCACTTCACACCAGTAATTGAAGTTCTCGTACTGTACTCATGGATTCATGTGCTGTGTTATCATCTCTGAAAATATACTTAATATCTAGCTTCATGACTAGTTTTCTTTAAATACATATATGTATAAATATATACAAAAAGATGAGCTACACTAAACACCCTTCCTATAATGAAAGTACTGGGGATCCTCAACTCTACTTTGAGTAGAATTTAAACAAAGGAAAGAAAATGATCTGGTAAATGCATCAAGTTCACTGAAATTGCCTCTCAGTCTATGGAATTGTACATGATAACATATAAATGCTTCTTGTTCCCTTTTGTCAAGACATCCTTGTGTAAAAATAGATTTATTGTTTTTAAATTATCAGCCATGTCAACATCAACAATGAAACAAAGAAATAGTTCAACTCTCTTAAAAGACGATATATACATGTAAAATCAGCACTTACTCTCAAAAGTCTTTGGCATTAGGAATTTGTGAGCTTGAGGTCTGTTCACAAGTTACCTTTTCAAAACAACACGATTTTCTGTGTGTGGCAGCACCGCTTTATCAGGAGGAAGACAAACAAATCTTCATCCTATTACTGAAGCAGAGATCAGGCCTCCACTCCCCCCCCCCCCCCGAGCTGTGCCTTGAGGCGTCAGGCGATAGTCATCACGGCACTTCGGTTTACCACGCAGTCGTAACTCACTTGTGAACACACCATTCTGTCTCTGTTGGGGCAACCTACATTGGCGGGGGGTTGGCGAAGTTGGGATTGGAAGGTCTCCAGTTCTTGGCATTCTTTCCAAATTTGTACACTAATCTTCTCCCAAGCACGGCTTCAAACACACCACCTTTGTAGTAATACCTGAGGAAAGTAACATTATTAAATACAAACATCAGCATTTAGAAGTATTTCCTAAACCTAGAGAACTATACTGTAAAACTGCTTTTTTTTATATCATCATCATCATCATAGAATTTTATTTACCATCCCTAAAGAAACAAACTAAACAACCCTAACATCAGGATTTTGAAGTATTTCCTAAACCTAGAAGACTATACTGTAAAACTGTTTTTTTTTATATATCATCATAAATTTTCATTTACCACACCTAAAGAAACATAAACAGCTCTCACCTCATTGCCCGACTCAATTTCTCATAGTTCATGTCCTTATTCTGTTTCCGCTCGCCCCATTTCTGCGCAACCTTTTCTGCTTGAACGAATCTGAAAATCCCTTCCTCGGCATTCTCCCACTTAACCATGGAGGGGCAGGTCTCGGGATCGAGGAGGAGGTTCCGAATGAACTCCCACAGACGACCGGTTTTCTTTTTCTTCTTCTTTAATTCATTTTCTATAAAGGGGAAAAAAGAGAGAATAGGTTTAGCATGAGGGAAGAAAATTAAGAACAGGGGGAGGGGGGAATACAGTAAAGGCACCACAAAATAGATTGAGTTCTGACACAAGTTTTTCATAATTGCTTGCATATGTTAATCATGGGGATAATCAAAAAACATGCTATCACTGGATAAGGAATAGAAACCTTCGAAACTTACCAGGCTTGCGTGGTCTCCCAGGACCTCGCTTCTTTGGCACTTCTGGCTTGGGTTCTTCTTCTTCGGCTGCACTGTGGTCTGAGAAGAGGGAAGTTGACTTTAAGTTCACTTTTTTTTTAGGAGGTGTAAGTGAAAAGTGCCAGTTAAAGGATTTCCAAGATGTAATGACTGCATGATCAGCTTTAACTCATGTATTGGTAAGTACCAAAATATCCCTCGAATAATAGACGAATATTGAGAAAGAGAAAATATATTTTTTGATCTATCAGAAGCTTAGAATTTACTGAACCAATGACATTAAAAAAAAAAAATTCTCAAAGCAAATACCAAAGCTTCGTTACAACAAACCGGTGTGCATACCAGGATCTGAGAGGCTTTCTGCGACTGAGTGGTAGTGATTGGAAGGTGAGGTAGATGAGAACAACGGGTAGGTTTTCAAAGAAGCCGTTGGAAGGCTGTCGGAGATTCCGGACCTGTGACCATTCTCCATCGCCATTGGCCTCGGGGCTTCATAGTGGATCTCGTACCGGGCCTGCGTCTCAATCATGGTTGGGACGACTTCTCTAGGGGAGGCTGATGGGAGATGGGTGGCCTGACCTTGGCTACTTGGGCTGACTAAGTACTCATAGGAGGTTGGGGAGAAGAGGTGGGACTTGTAGAGCATTTGGTGGGAGGAAACTGCAAGGAAAGAAACAGCGCGGTTTTATTTATGATAAAAAAAAAAAAAATTGTTACTATTATTAGTGCATATTTCCATATAATTTAATATCTCCTATCTACAGCAATTGTATGATTACCTGAATTTCCTTTGTAATCCATTACTTTAAGAAACTGATACGGAAGATATTAGCCAAAAAAGTAAAACTACCAAGAAATTAAAAAACAAAAACAAAAAAACAAGGAAATGTTTCTCACCAATAGACTGTCTTCTCTCCTCCTCTTGCCTTCTCAATTCCTCTCTTCTCTGCATCTCTTCATGTCTCTGCAACTCTAATCTCCTCTCCTCATCTCTCATTTCAATGAAGTATCTATAGTATTGCTCTCCATAACCCTTTGAAAATCTCTTAAATCCTTCCATATCCATGTTCAAGAGATCTTTCCCCGTCGAGCCGCTCAACTCGGAGAAGTTGACATCGAGGTTCTTGCTGTCCAGGTTTAGGTCTTCCTGGGCTTTGAAGATGAAGAAGACGACATCCTCGTACGTCCACTCAGCAATGGGTTTTTCTTGCTGATTGTTTTTTTCTGAAAGGATATTTGGAATTAGATTATGATGGTCTTACGGACTGTTACTTGTTGAGAGAAGTTTGAAAATGTTGATTTAGTATCGAATGGTTGGAGAAAATGATTGATCTTTATTTTGAAATATCATTAGCCAAATATTTTGCTCTCTTTACAAAAGGCAAATAACCTGCACTGTTTAAAAGAACTTACCAAATGAACTTCTAAGTGGGGTTAAAGTGGTCGAGTGGTTCTCATGGTGTCGTTCTCTGGGTAACCAGGGAACTTGCTTGTTAGTGGCTGATGGAGGTTCTTGTCCATCCTGTAGAGGAGTTAAATGATTAAGATTTTTTTAATTGACTCTTCGCTGAGGTGACTTAAAAAACGTCTCTGTGGATATCCTATGCAACCAAATTGTTTCTTCCTACAAAGATATGTTACCATACAAAAGCATTCACTTCAGTTATCTTATTAGGATACTTAGGTAATGAAATGTCTGGAAATCTACTACCAATTCTGATAAGTCTCATAAAAAGAGCTTTTAAAACAGGTAATTGCCCTGTAGCGGTTTCATATTCCCTAAAGTGATAGGACTAATCTTATCTCAAAACTCTTTCTTGATAAGCATGACGTGTCACATGTCATCCCTCCCTGATGTTACGCTGAACCAGTAAAACGAGATGGAATTCACCCAACTTACTCTGGGGAAAGCCTTGTGTGGAGCCATCTCGGCGGGGACTGGTCGCGTTCCAGATCCTGTGGGGCAGAAGGGAGAGGAATTAATTAAGTATTTCAAGCATGCGAGGGTCATAAATGTGTGTGTATGTGTGTGTGTATGTGTGTGTGTGTGTGTGTGTGTGTGTGTGTGTGTGTGTGTGTGTGTGTGTGTGTGTGTGTGTGTGTGTGTGTGTGTGTGTGTGTGTGTGTGTGTGTGTGAGTGAGTGAGAGAGAAATATAAATTCAACTTCTGATCGCCCTATGAACTCACCACAGGCTCCTACGACCCCGAGCACTTCTCCTCGCGCGCCCACGAACGAACACCGCGATGCCCTAAGCCATTAAAAGCAAACCGAGCAGACAAAACCACCGCAACACCCTCTGAACTCGACGAAAGTATGTCCAAGGCTGCCTCCGCGTCTGGCAACACTTTCCAGAGCACTGAGCCAAGACGAAAGCTTATCGGGACACACCAGTGCTGCCTCTTATCACGCAAGTTGTCGGCCGGACTCCCTGACCTGGTTATATGTATGTGTATGTGTGTATGGGAGTGAGTGTGAGTGTGTGAGTGAGTATGTGAGCGAGTATGAGTGTGTGAGTATGTGAGCGAGTGTGAGTATGTGAGTGTGTGTGTGTGTGTGTGTGTGTGTGTGTGTGTGTGTGTGTGTGTGTGTGTGTGTGTGTGTGTGTGTGTGTGTGTGTGTGTGTGTGTGCGTGCGTGCGTGCGTGCGTGCGTGCGTGTGTGTGTGTGTTGTTGTGTGTGTGTGTGTGTGAGAGAGAGAGAGAGAGAGAGAGAGAGAGAGAGAGAGAGAGAGAGAGAGAGAGAGAGAGAGAGAGAGAGAGAGAGAGAGAGAGATGAAAAGAAATATTTCACTCACATAAAACACACAGCGACGTAGTGCATTACGAAACACCAAGAGCACCGTAATCCGAGGTTTACCATCTGGCAACACTCCTGTCCTCGCTGGAGATGCCGATTTGTCTTTTTTGGTCCGAAAGGCCTTACGATATCGCGGAAGGAACTGCGTTGATGCACTTACTGCCCAAGGTAACATAAAGGGGGGGGGGGGGGCTGGGACCTGACAGTTTTGCATTAAATAATTATGAAAAATCGGCAGTTGTCCCAGCACTGAACGTCACTGATTTCTTCAGCGGGTTCTGCGTGCTCATGTTTAACAATGTGGAAGCTTTTCAAAAGTAAGGAGGTCAAAGTTATATTCTCCTGTTACAAGTGAGATAAGATATTATTTCAATAAATGAAACAGCGATCACAAAACGCACGGCACTAGCGTTGGGTTCACTTTAATTAGTGCCCGTGCAGCGAGATTGGCACTGTTCAAAGCGCATGTATTTCTACATGTATGTTTCATTGCATAATTAATTACTTTACGCAAGCCTGTGCTCTGAACGGACTGCGAACGTGAGTAGAGAACGACATCGTTCTTCTACCCACAAACATACTTACGACGATCAGGAGTGCGTCATCCTCCGCTCGGCTTCGTCAGGAGAGAACGGAACCAGGGCGTCGAGTAGACAAACGAGAGGCGGCCTCGGCGGGAGCGACGCAACAACTATCTCACATCAACTGCTTGTCAATAGCACAGGACGATTACCCTGCGTGCAACGTGTCCACTACAGTCCCGCCATGGCAACTGTTGCCACTCTCGGCCGTCCGCCTCACCCGCGGGCTCGGCGCACCCCCCCTCCCGGCCCAGCCCCAGCCCCCTCGCCAGCATCCCACCCCCCTACGGACGCTCCCGCCCGCTTTTAAAGCCGCGAAAAGGGCGTCCTGAGGGCGTCGACGGGCGGGATGACCCGTGGAATCATGCCTAAGGCATGGCACTGTCTCGCGGCTGCTGGATCATGGCACTAGCACCGCGGGAAGGCTCTAAATTAATTTTCATCCAAGTTTTCCTCCTCGGTGACGGAGGGGGGGAGGGGAAGAGGGCAGCCCGCGTCAGGTGCCGGTTAGTGATTATTCACGCCTCTTCATTCTCTGCTGCGACGCAAGTCGTTACGGCTGTGAAGTGCTTGATATACTTTTGTGTAAATAAAGACGACAATAGATGCTTATTAGCGTCTTCTGACCACTATGCCGCGCGGAAAGGCATTTCTCTATGTGACCTTAAAGCTGGCATCTCTGCCACTAGTTTTCTAATAGGATACAGTACACTTTACAAATGTGTGTGTGTGTGTGTGTGTGTGTGTGTGTGTGTGTGTGTGTGTGTGTGTGTGTGTGTGTGTGTGTGTGTGTGTGTGTGTGTGTGTGTGTGTATGTGTGTGTGTGTGTGTGTGTGTGTGTGTGTGTGTGTGTGTGTGTGTGTGTGTGTGTGTGTGTGTGTGTGTGTGTGTGTGTGTGTGTGTGTGGTTAGTTGCCTATATATGTCAGCTCAGGTGTGCGTTTATTTCGTGTGAGCAAACAAGTTTGTGTGGTTTTGCTTGCAGGCATGCTTAAATAAATAAGTTATGATAAAAAATATTCTTACATACGTACAGCCATGCTTGCATACATACATTCTTTCATTCATACGTGCAAATATACAAAATGCACCCCCACACACTTGCGCGTGCGCGCAGATATAGCAAGAGAGCTTAAGAGACAGACAGACAAGGTCTGTGGCTCCGTCCCAGGCGGCCCGGCGCCCGCCGTCCTTACCTGCGCCCTCCATCGGGTACACGAGGTACACGAGCTGCACCTGCAGAGGGTCCCCCGCGTCCGGCGACCCTGCGTGGAGGTCCTCGGGCCGCATCACCACCAGCGGCGACGACGGGCCCGGCCCTCCGCGCTGCAGCGCCGCCAGCAGCTCCTCGGGACGCAGCACCATCATCCCACCGTTGCTGTCACTGCTGCTGCTTCTGTTGTTGTTGTTGTTGTTGTTGTTATTGTTGTTGTTATTGTTGTTATTGTTATTGCTGTTGTTGTTGTTGTAGTGATGTTGGTGCGTGGCAGACCCATGGCCCGCGAGCTGGCGAGCGTGGCTCCTCCGAGAAGCGTCGTCGGCGGTCGCGTCGTAACTGCAAGGAGCAGCAACGGGGGCGGCCGTGTGGGTCGTCCTCTTGGACGCCTCGTATGCGTAATGCGAAGGGCCGTCGGTGCCGTAGCGGCCGCCCTCGTGCCGCTCGTCGTGTCCCCCGTCGGAGGCTCTGGCGCCATGGCCGTCCTCGGCCCTTGGCGTCGCGGACCGGCGTTTCGGAGCCTTGTCGGCGCCGCCCTCGGGGCATCTTCCTCGCTTCTTGGCTCTTGAGCGGAAGATGGACTCCCTGAGCGCCGTCAGGACGTCCGAGCGATTCCTGACGGGCTCCCGCGCCGCCGGAGGGGACGCGCCGCCGCCCTTGCCCGCCCTCTCACGCTGGCCGCCGCCCTTGGCGCCGTTTACCGGCTGGCTCTGGGGCTCGCGGCGCTCGAGCGCGGGCACCGGGTATGCCGAGGGGCTCTCCCCGTGCGTCGTGTACGAGCCCGTGCTGGAGGGCGCGTCTTGGGGCGTCGAGGCCACGCACGGCAGCTGCACCACGATGTCCTCGTTGCTCACGTACCTGTTGGGCACCGTCATGTTGATGCCCGGCGCCGTCACCTGCACCACGAAGCGCCCCTCCGCGTCCACGGTGGCGTCCAGCGCCGTTCCCGGCAGACACTGTAGGGCATCGGGGGCGAGGAGGTCAATGGCGCCATCGGGGGCGGCACTGGCGGGTGCTAGCGGGGTATACTGGGGCACGTCGGGGGTCGTCAGGACCTCGATCTCGGCCGACGGCGTGGGGACGTCCGTCGGGGCCGGCCCCACGCCCTGCAACAACACTTCCTCTTGGATGGGGATCTCCTCTTGTGCCAGAATCTCGCTGGGCGTCGGCCCCTCGGGGCACACGGTCCCGCCCACCTCCATCGGCGGCGTGTTGACCTGCGGCGGGTTCTCGGACGCGGTCAGGACGTGGTAGGTGGCGCCGTAGTCCACGGCGGGAGGTGACTCGAACATCTCGAGCGCCTGCTGGGACGTGATTACCAAGTTGTCATCCAGCGCGAAGAAGTTCATGTCACCAAGATCCCCGTCAGGAGGAGGCTGCGCATCCTGCAGCACCTCGTGGTACACTTGCATGGCCTCCTTCGTGTCCAGGTCAATCAGCTGCTGCGAATCGGCCACGCTCGCGCACACAGGAGTCGAGTGCCCGCGGCCTACGTGCGTCAGCTCCTGCGGTGGCACCTCCGGCGGGTAGTGGCAGAGCCCTTCGACCTCGGTCTGGGCCTCCAGCGGCGCCCCTTCGAAGGTGGTGGAGGCGAGGCCATGTCCGGGAAGGTAGTGCAGCACCCTGTGGTCGCGCGCCGAGGCGGGGGGCGTCGGGGAGTTCTGCGGGATGTCCGGCGAAGGAAGCTGCTCCACCTCCTCCACGTTGACGGCGGCCACGGCGGCGCTGAGGATCTGGTCGAGCTGCATGGCAGCGATCTTGACAGGTGGTGGTGCGGGAACCTGGGGCTTGGCGAGAAGTTGGGAGAAGCTGCAATGTCACACTCACTCGTCGCGCTCCATCTTGGTCATCCTCGACGGCGCAACGACACCAAGTGCTCGCACACCTTCAGGTCGCAGCCGAAGGGACATCCGGCCTCCAGGCGGCGCACTCGAATCACAGCACAAGATTTGCTCACAACCACGTAAAAGCACAGCTGAGCTTGCTCTCGAAACAGGTGTCACTCTCGAGTTCTTGCTTCGCCTTGAGGATGCAATGCGATCAACTGCAAATGCACGTGCAACTGAGGTGAAAGGCCTCTGGCTAAACGATGTCGAGCAAAGGTTACGAGCGCTCCTTGCTCCCTGTGCATCCGCGGTCTATCTGGCGAGGGCAGAGGCTCCAGCCATTCTCATACCCACTACTTTTGCCCAGGGAAGGAACCCCGTGGCTGAGGCGGGCGGGAGGGGGGAGGGGGTCACTCGCCCGACAGGTGCGTTCCCGCAATCTCTTGTCGCTGCCGTTCGCTCCTTTTCTTCCTTTTTTCTTCGCGAATCACAAGGACTCCGCCTTGTCGAATGCCATACCTTGCAACGATCATGACAATTAAAAATCGAAGTTCGGATGACTCAAAACAGATGCGTTTTTTACGACGTCTGGCATCCATGACTTTTTCCAGCCTCCGATTGGGTGGCAGAACGAGCAATGGCCAGGCCAATGGACCAATCAACGCCCAGAACAGTGGTGACGTCACAAACAGTACGCTTTTTAACGAGATCATCCAAAACCCTTGTAGTTCCAAATGCCATGATGCCCTGTTAAAAAAGAGTTACTAAATGAATCTCGTATGTTCAGAAAGGCGAAGAAAATTAAATCCACATCATATTTTTTTTTCAATAAAACATCGCATTCACAGAATAAACATGACATTCGCTGACATTCCCATGAGATTTTTGACACAAGGGCGATATTTATACTTCATTGCAGACAAGGGCACTGCATAGAGGATTGCAAATGCTTGAATATATATCATAAATTATCTTTAGTAACCTTTGTGTAGTTCCCTTTCGATACCCAGCAAGGATTGGTATAATGTCCTCTGCATTTCTTTTTACATGAAGGAATAGTTCAGCTGTTCTAATAGTGACATGACGATGATCATGATAATAAGGACGATGGTAGGGGATAACATGACGATGGTGGACATGATGACAATGATAATAACAATTGCTATAAGGGAGGTGAGCATGCTTGTGATTGTTGACGTTGATGATGTTGAATATGACCGAGGTTCTGATGATGAAAGTGATGACAGTGAACAAAGGCGAGAGCCAGCAAAACGCGTTTCTGCGGCCGCCTGCTTGTCCTCCCTCAATTCCTTCCGCAAGCGCTTCCAGCATCGGCACTTGCAATCTCGTGGCAAGACGCCCGTTTTTAATCCGCGAACGACTGCCCTCAAAATGCCCGTCAGCTCTTCTGTGGACAACTAATCACGGAGAGATGTTCCAGCGCGAGCACCTCCCGCCCCGAACACCAATTATCCCCGTAAAGGTGATTAACCCAGGTCAATTTTTATTTTCATTTTCGTTATTTTTACCTCTTGACCTGATCTGTTTATCCCCCTTCCATCACCGCCTAAGGCCATACGGAGAGGGGGGGGGGGGTTAAAAGGGCAGAGAATACGGCCTGAATCAGGTGAATATGCGTGGAGGGGGGAGAGAGGGGGGGAGAGAGGGGAGATGATGGAGTGGGAATGAAAAGGGGGAGGGGGGGATTCCTAATTACACGCTAAGAAAGTGTTTTGATCTCTCATAATGCCGACCACAGGCGAGTTAAATCGACTGTCATTCTACAGATCGAAGAGAAAACTGTTATCATCAACCTCCCCGGTAATATAGCTAATAACAACAACATCAGGTATTTCTGCAATAGATACAGCTACATCATATTTATCCCTGACTTCTACTGAGATTTTCCATTACCATTTTTGTAGATTTCGTTTCCACAACGAGTGACCGAAAGTGAAACGGAGGCAAAAGCTCTTAAATCTTGAGCTGGTTTTGGCTTTGGCAAAAAGTTGTCTCAAAGACGATGAGGGCGAGCAAGTGCCTTTCCTGCTCAGTTAATTAAACCTTTCTTCAAACACAGCTGTCTGAAAAAGTGCTAAAACAACTAATATAACCCTAGTGCTCAAATACTGCATATGACATGAGCAGTTTTGATGAAAAGAGGATGGCAGTTATAATTCATAATAATACACCAAAATTATAGCTACTCAAACCATAGCCACTATTAATACTACCTTTTACCACAACGACCACTATCGCTACAACCTCTGCTGCCGCGACTATCAATAATTAAAGCAACAACCTCACACACAACAACTGAAAACTTTGTCCCGAAAGACACACCATTCTCTGAACAACAACGCTTCTCGCTTACCACGGCCACAAAAAAAAAAAAAAAAACAGACACCAAGAACAGGAGGACGGCGCCCTTGCCCCTCAGAACAGTAACTCCAAAAAGCAGAGTGTAACGGAGTCAAAGTCAAAGTCAAAGCACACTTGACCTAACGCACCACGCAGCTTTCACGGCCTCTTGTACATACGAGGGTCAGGCGGGAATAAATGCAAACTGCCGGGAAAAACTGTCGGGGATTTCGACGCGGAAGGAGGTAGTGATCCAAAAACAAAAAAAATGTTGAAATATGTAGGACTTCGCGCCGTGTTTCACAGAAGGAAAATAGAGGAGCTGGCTTGATGTGGAGTGAGAGCCAAAGGATTGGAGGAAAGAGGGGAAAGGAAGGGAAAAAGAAGGAAAAAATGGAGGGAGGTCATATTAAGAAGGAAAATGAGTTCGGACTTAGTCTCTGTCTGTCTGTCTGTCTCTCTC